TTTCTTTTAGTAAAACCAAAAGCCTCTCTCAAGGAGATGCAGCAAAAAAGACTAGTGGTGGTGATGGCAGTGGGGAAAACTTGAAAATTATGGATGAAAAAAAGCCCAGAGCTGAGTTCTGCCCTGCTATACGACTTGAGACAGATTACCATCCAAATCTACTCCTATAGTATAGAAGCTAGTATCTGCCCTACCTATTTAGCACATTGTCAGGATGATCCAGGAATATAATGTTTATCAAAGTGCTTTGCATAATAGGAGTTGGAAAACTCTTTTCTGTAACAGGATCTTTGTGACAACTCTGTATCCAAATTCCCCGCTGTAGCACAACGTAGCACACACAATACTTAAATAAATGAACATGCCTGTGTCCCAACAAAACTTTATTTATGGACACTGAAACCTGAATTTCATAAAATTTTCATGTCACAAAATATTCTTTTCATTTGTTTTTAACAATTAAAAAATGTTAAATCATTCTTAGTTCATGGACTATAAAAAACAGTTTATGGGCTAGATTTGGCCTATGGGCAGTAGTTTGTCAATTACTGTTATAAACCATGTTGTTGTATGCCACTGAATCTACTGTAATTCATAGAGACTCTATAATAGAGTATGCCCCTATAGGGTTTCTTATCGGTACACAGGAGCCTTGGTAGCACAGTAGTTAAGCATTCTGTTCCTAGGGTCACTATGAGTCACTTGAGGGCATTGAGTTTTTAATGGAATCTTTACAAGAGCAGGTCTTTTCTCTGGTAGAGCAGCTGGTGGGTTTGAACGACTGACTTTTCCATTAGCAGCTGAGTACTCAACCACTGTACTATGAGGGGGCTCCTTGTTGTAAACCGTAGTTTTATGTCAGTGTCAATTTCTATTTATTTCTTAATATGTGCTTCCACAGAGCTTAGGAGAATGTTCTCTTATGAGGTAAGCTCTCTTTAACTCCTAGATTAGAATTTCAGACTATTTGAAAACAAGCCCATGGGAGCTCTGGTGGCGTAGTGCCTAAGGCACTTGACGGATAACCAGAAGGCTGGTGGTTCAAACCTACCAGCCACTCCTCAGAAGGAAGATGGGGCAATCTACTTCCATAGTGATACTGCCTTGGAAACCCAAGGAGGAGTCACTCTGAGTCAGGGCCGACTTGATGGCACGTAACAACAAGAACAACAGTAGCAAGTAAGGTTCTTTCCCTCTCCTGTCTAGAAAGAAAATAAGACCAGGCAAATCCCCTCTAACACCTCAATTTCTAAGCAATACGCTAGTAGGATTGGGAAAACACACACACACATATACATGCAACTTGGGTAAGTAAGTGTGCACGTCATAAGGCTCCCAAATAAGATCGTTAGGCATGATAACAGGAAAGCTGGCTTACAAAAGAGATGAAGTCAAGGGTATTTTTTCATCTTAGTCCAGTCTGGTAAGATTCTGACTCAAGGTGACTACGTCATTTAAAAACAACAACTTCTCATGGTGTTCTAACTGAAATCTGACATCATTCTTTCTCTCTTCTAAAGCTGGATCAAGAGAGTTTAACTACAAGATGAAATGGGTCAAAGCAGTGATGAACACTGTCACCAGGAAGAGCAAATGAATCTGAATTAGACCTTTTCAATCAGCCGGAAGGTATTTATATACAAAACACACATAAACACACAACAGTCTACAATGGCCTAGACAGAAAAGTTATGCAAGCACAAGAAGAGTTGTATCCTAGAGGCTCCAGAGCTCAGGGCACGTCTAAGTCCACGAAGAGGAGAGGGATAAGGGTGGGAAGATGGAATCTTCCACTGAATGCAAAAACTTCCTTATACGTCCTTAGTGTGCACTGGACAACTAGCTTGATTTCATCTACTCCACTTGTTCAGAGTCTCAAGTTTGCCATTTGTCATATAAATGCTCATTATGAGCTGCCTTCCCATGAAAGGTCTGCCTCCAGAGAAAATGCTTTAGTCTATGTATATATTTTTATTTCCAATCACTGTTAACAATGATTCTTCATGATGGAATTAATAAAGCAACTTTTGGCTATGACAAGAGTTTCCACACACCTTAATTACTGGACAAGAAGGTACTGATCTTTGTCAAAATGAGTATTTCTATTCTCCATGACAATTATATTTCACATTATGGATTAATTCATGAATGCCTGAATTTCAGTTGTGGCTCTGGCTTCTACTACCTTGTGATCACAAGAAAATTTCTTGGTTCTCTTTGTGCTTAAATTTCCTTACCTATAGAATCAGGCTATAATATTTAGTAATAATAATAATAATAATAGCTACCTGGTAGCTATTGTTATTTTTGTATCAGGAGTATTTTGGATGTTTAGTTGGTTTATTGTGGCCTAATGCCAGCATGTCCAATTCAATCCACATTCCATCAGGTAAGATTCTGACCAGCTCCAACCTTTCCCTTAGACCAGGAGTTCTTAACCTTAAGGTTAACTGAGCATTTTATAATTTTTTATGGAAAATTGTGTCAATATGGATGACACACATTTTTCTGAAACAAGGGGCCACAGCTTTTATCAGGTCAATAAAGTACATGGCCCTAAATAAATTTTTAAAAACAAAATAAAACCCACTGCCTTAACATTATCACTACCACTTTTTCATCTTTATCCTCCCTCTCAAATGATGTCTATTCCTGACCCTGGAGCTTAATCAGTAAGTTGTATGCTAAAAATTCCCTTTCTGCAATGGTACTTCAATATGATCCTTCCCATTTTTAATACTGCCAAGTTACTTCCATAGCCCATGCTACTCTGTCTACAATGCCTAATTGTCACCTTTGACCATCTTCAAAACCATTTCCTCCATTAAGCCAATGTCCTTCTTCAACCCTCCCAACCTCTATTTTACAAGGTCTCCATTTAGATGAGCACTGTTCTGGTTACCTACTGCCGCTCTGACAAGAATATACCACCAATGGGATGGCATGAACAAACCGGAGTTTATTCTCTTACAGTTTGCAGGCTTTAAGCCAAGTTCAAAGTGCCAGGGTCCAGGGGCTGGGTGAAAGCCCCTCAACCTTAGGCTTCAGCTCTGTCTCCTGCTCCTGGCCCACTGGAACTAGAGGCTTTTCTTCACTCAGAACAGCTGCTGGCTGCTAAGACTGACAAACCCAAGGTTGACAAGTAAAAAAGCACAGTCCTAATGTTACCAAACCACACACAGGCCATTAATTCAAGTTTGTTGAAAGTCTCAAGGTTGGCAGAGCATAGCAGGTTGCTGAACAACGACTCCGCTAAATGCAGGGTTTAAGCATGCAATAAGCTAGAGACCATTCCAAAGCTATTTCTTTTATATGGGAAGCAGACCAGATACCCAAAGCAGCTACTCAGCTGCTCCAATAGATTCCACCATGGAGTTAATTACCAATCTCACCATGGGGAATAACTACATTCAGCTGCCGAACCACTCAACCAGGCCTAGGCAAGTTGACACACAAACTTAACCACCATAAGCACATAAAATCATATATTAGTTTCTCAATCTTGGCATCACTAACATGTCAGGCAAGATAATTTTTTGTTATCCTGTGCTATGCAGAATGTCTAGCAGCATTCCTTGCCAAACGTCCAAAATGGAGAAGAAGGGTAAAATCAGTCCTGGTTAAGAACCACTGATGTATTATAATGACCAAACCAAAACCAGACTCACTGCCATTGAATCGATTCTGACTCATAGTGACCCCCATCGGGTATCCAAGGCTATAAATCTTTACAGAAGTATTGATTGCCCATCTTCCTTCCATGGACAGGCTGGTAGGTTTGAACCTCCAACCTTCTGGTTAGCAGTCAAATGCCTTAGGCATTGCCCCACCAGAGCTCCTTGTAATATAACAATTCCATTTCCCTCTTAACTTTTTCAAGACAGAGACTAAAACTTTTACGTTTATATTCTCAATATCACCTAGTACAGAGGTTTTACAACAGGTTTAGAGAAATACTTATTGTCAGCTAATCTTTCTAAGGAGCTCTAGTGGCACAGTGCCTAAGGCATCTGACTGCTAACCAGAACGTTAACGGTTAAAACCCACCAGACACTCTGCAGAAGGAAGACAGGGCACTCTATTTCTGTAAAGATTTACTGCCTTGGAAACCCAAAGGAGTCACTATGAGTCAGAATTGACTTGATGATAGTGGATTTGGTTTGTTTTTTTTAACCTTTCTAAAGTTAGCAGACAGAACATTCTGACTACCACATTCCAAAGAGTTTTATATATTCGTTAAAATTCACTTAATGTGTAAATAAAACTTCTTAAAAGGCAAAATCTGCTATGTCATAATACCTCCATAATTTTCAACAAATACCATCAGTTACAGCTGTGCTTCGACAAAGATGGTTCTAACATTATAAAGAATGAGTGGTCAACGAACATTCCGTATCATAGAGACTACAACAGTATTCTTTTCTTTCATTGAGGACTTACAGAAGAGTAGCAGAAACCATTTCCTCCTCCCTTGAAAATAGCCTAGGTTCTGTGATGTATGTATTGTTGTTATTTCATTTAAATATTTAGATACACTCAAGGCCCAGTAAGTAATAGGGCTAAGAATTTCAACCCAAAGGTCCTAAATCAGGGTTAAGTTCCCTAGACCAGTGGTTCCCAACCCTTACTACATTAGAATCCTCTGCAATAAAAAGAAGAGACCCCTGGGCCTTGCACAAAATGGTGCTGAAGATTAAAATAGTTTTAAAAATCCCCAGTGAACTCTAATGTGCAGTCTGGGCTGAAAGCCACTGCCTTTGACTGATTCGAACCTCAGGTAACTTGACAGTTAATATAAAAGGCTATCTATCTTTTACAAGACCTTAAACTCCATGGAATGACTAAAACTCATTCTCTAATTTGCTTACTGTTTACTCTATATGTGAGCACTTACATTAAAACACTTGCTGCCCTCTTTCTAGGACTAGACATAACCTGGAAGCTCATGATATGGTTTTTGGGCTGCTCTCCCTACCATCTCACAGAATCTGGGTACTTACACTCCTCTTTACTGGGTGAAGTTACATTCAGTTCTGTCGGAAGCGGCTGCTGGCTGGGACTAAGAGTTGGCGTGGTTATCGAGGTATTGTTGTTGTCACTCGTGGTCTCTTCGGAAAACAAATCTGATTGGCTGTTACTTGTACTTGGAGCGGAATCATCGTCTGGTTGTTTCTTTTGAAAATCTCAAGAAAAAGTGAGAAAATAAGTTTAATTAAGGAGTTCACAATCTCCTTGGTTATTAGAAAACAATGTAAATTAGTATAATAATGCAATAACCATAATAAAGGCTAATCTAGCTGATAAAAAACAAGATGAAAGCAAAACATGTAAGACTGGTAGTGACTGGAGTTAAAGCTTTCCAAGGTCCTTGTATTGTGTCCTTAGATTGTTCAGAAGAATGGCAGTCATCTTGATTTAAATGTTAGACACTGCAAAGTCAAAGATTCATGTTACTATTCTAAAGGTAATCAGTACAAGGGAAAGAGGAATAAAGAATAGTTGTTCAAATCAATAGAAAATAGGTAAGAAGGAAAAAGACAGCAGAGAAAAAAGCTGGGTAAACAGCAAACTTAAAAAGATGGTAGAAAAAAGTATCAGCATTGGCAGTAATTATCAACAGACTAAGCTTATCAAAGGAGAAAAAAATCCAGATTGAATTAACAAAACCCAGTTACAGTTTACAAGAGACAAACTAAACACAACAATAAAGGAAATTTTGAAGTGTATAAAAAAATAGTTCAGGCAAACACAAATCAATAGAAAGCCAATAACAGCCATAATACTGTCAAAAAATGTAGCACTTACAGCAAAAAAAAAAAATTATAAAGTGGATCATCATATAATGGTCAGAAACAACTCATCAGGAAGATAAAACAATTCTAAATCCATATGCATTAACAGCACATCAAAACATGCAAAGCAAAATGGTTGTATTTATGGAAAACTGACAAATTTACTACCACAATAGTAAGATCTTAATATACTTGCCTCAGACAAAATAATGAGTAAAATTAAAGATTAGTGTACATACACAGACCCCTATACCCAACAATGAGTTATTTTCAATCACATGTGAAATTTTTATAAAAACTGACTAAAACCTGGTTAAAGCTTGACCATGTATTAGGCTATAAAGCAATTCTCACTCAACCAATGCCAAAGAATGAGTAACACAGACAATATTTGTCTATAGAGTAAAGATTTTTAAAATGGTAACTTTTTCCCTATTTGGAAATAAAAAATATACTTTAAATTCATAGGTCAAATCAGAAATTTAAAAATTAGAATATATTTATAATTGGATGATAATGAGATATCTATGATATGAATATCTAGTAAAGATGAACATATATTACCTACAACCTATTCATTTTATTTCTATGGATATGCCTAAAGAGAAACTCAACACACATGTTCAAGGAGACACATACAAAGCTGTTAATTATATACTGTCTTTAAAAGTAAAAACTCACAATCTGAAGGTCCATAAATTGTGTTATATTCAAACAATGGATTAATGTACACAGTGAAAACAACGAACTATGAATGAATGAATCTCAAAATCATAATGGTGGAAGAAGCAAGTCACTAAATAAGAGAAAAGACAGTACCCACATAAACCTTAAAAATGGTAAAACTCAATATATTATTTAGGGATATATATATTAAAATTGTGATACTGCCTCAGAAACCCAAGGAGAGGTCGCTATGAGTCGGGGCCGACTCGACGGCAAATAACAACAACAACAACAACATATTAAAATTATTATTATTTTTTAAATTAACACAATTAAGTTCAGTGGTTACCTCCTAGGTAGAGGAAGGAGATGTGATGGTTAGAGGGGCACAAATATTCAAAGATGTCTATTGACAGAGAACAGCTAAAAACAGTATATTCATTTACTAGAATGCTCTACAGTAGTTAAAATAAACTAGAGCTACAAGTATTATAGAAAAGTCTCAAAAATATTGAGAAAAGGAAGCTATGAAAGGACACATACAGTATAATAATGTTTATATAAAAATCAGAATGTATTAAAAGTACCATATATTTTTTTGGATACATAATTACAGTGTAAAAACATGCATGGAAATGATACATCAAATTCAGTACAGTGGTCATCTCTGGAGAAAAAGATGGAGAGGAACAGGAGTCTTCAATTCTACCTGTAATTTTTTTTTTTTCTTAAGCTGGTAGTAGGTATATATGAGTGTTACTATTATTATCTCTATTCTTTGCATGCCTGAAATATTTCATTTTAAACATATCATGCTACTCTATGAAGTACAGATTATATTTTACTACATCAATTCACAGAAGGAAAAGATGACCCTGACAATTTCATGTAGCCTTATTTTTTGAACCACAGAGAAGTTGTTGCTATTATGCTCTCAAACCTCATCAGAATCACTATGCTTTGACATATATTGAGCATAAGAATAGTTAGCATTTATGATGCATTTACCATGTGCCAGGCATGGAACTAGATGTGTTATATATACAGTTCATTTACTTTAATCCTGAGGACAATCCTAACAAAGCACATAATTAACACCATTTTATTCATGAAGTAATCAAGGCTCAGAAAGTGGGTAAATTTGTTCCAAGTTAACAGCTAGTAAGTAGCAGGGTCAAGGAGCTTCGGTGGTCAAAGGTTAAGCACTGGGCTGCTAACAGAAAGGTTAGCGATTCCTGTGAGAAAGTCTTGGCATTCTACTCCAGTAAAGACTGCAGCCTAGGAGGGCAGTTCTACTCTGGCCCACAGGGTCACTATGAGTCAGAATCAAATGAACGGCACACAAGAAGTATTAAGGTCAGGATTTAAATATAGGTCCATCTGACACCAAAGCCCATAGTCTTCAATTATAATGATACAGAACAGAGAGCAGGGGCTGGCCCAAAGGAGAGGTCCAAGGTCAAGCCCCCATTGATTTCCAGCAATACTAGTGAGTGTGAGTGCAATGGATTTTGCCAGAGTCACTAACGTGTTGTGCAGATAAGTGATCTAAAGTCTCCACTGGGTCTTTGCTGAGTATTTTTTCCTCCTAGCCACTTTCTTATTCTTCAATGTTCTGACATTTTAAAATTGCTTATTATCTCAATGTTATTTGTACATCACCTTCAGAGAAAAAGGTATTATATAAATGAAATGAAAATACTGCAATAATGATGCTTCTTTTTTATGTCATACCATCTCATTAGCCCTCCTGTATCAGTAATCATTGTGTCCCTCCCATAACCATCTCTCTTAACTTTTAACTGGAAATGTTGTAAAACCCTAAAAGAACTCAAACTGAGTCATCACTCTACTATCCCCAATGCCTTGAGACAGGCACATATAAACCCACTACTCAGGCTCAATAACCTTTTGAAGCTACACAATATGGTTATCTAAAAACAATTACCAGGTCCCACCCACACAATCTCCAACCCACATTTGCCATACTCCTTTGATGTACAGGTACTTTAAGTTTTCTTTTGTGAATATGTAGTTGACTAAGTCTTCTTTTAACCCATCCTCCCATTAATCCTCTTCTGTACGTCCAAGGAGCTCTGGTAGCTTAGTGCCTAAGGCATTTGACTGCTAACCAGAAGGCTGGCAGTTCAAACCCACCAGCCATTCCTCGAAAGGAAGGCTGGGCAATCTACTTCTGTAGAGAAACCTCCTCGGAAACCCAAGGAAGGGTCGCTGTGAGTCAAACTGACTTGATGGCAGTGAGTCTGGTTTTTCTGGAAAGGGTGATGACATCATAGCTAACAGTATTCATTAAACTATACTGGCTGCTCACAAAGAGAACAGAAGTTTTATACATTTTCTGCTTAAATTCAACATAAAACCCAAGAATATAGAATTTTACAATCAGAAGTGATTTAAAGATCCAGTTCCATTCTCTCATCTTACAGAGAAAGCAGGAGCCAAGAAATTTAACTGTAACTCATCAGGAATTCACAGTTAGTCTTAAGACTGCTCTAACTCCCAGGCCAAAGTCAGCAGCTTGTATGCTACAAAGAGCTTTAGAATTAGGCCTCTATTCAAATCTTTACTTTGTTGTTTACCGGGCATATGGCTAAAAGCAAACTGTTTAATCTTTTGCGGTCTTGTCTGTAAACAAAGGGAGGGATTATTCCTAGTTTTCATGATAGCATGGATTAAATAAGATAACAGACAAAAGTATCTGGTGCATAGGTATTCAACAAATGATAGATATTAAAAATAAAAAGTATTTTTAAATTTTAAGGAAAAGGTCACAAAGTAAGAGTTATCTTTTCCTTTTGCGCCTGACATTTCTGTACCATAGTTGTTACTCTCTTGTTCTTTTCTTTCTGAATCACCCACCATTCAACTTAGAAAAAAGCAAATTTATTCCAAGGAAGAGGGGAGCCAATTTACTTCACACGTGTGATTAAAAAAAAAAAAAAACAGTCAACAACAAAATATAGGTCAGAGAATCTGCCTCTTGTCACTCTACTCTGGAAAGAAGTATAGATGACAGGTCTAGAAATGGCTACTTAATTTGATCCACACAAAGTAATGGTCTGTTTACTTGCTGTACAATTCTTATATAAATGGGAAAAGTAGAAATCTCCAAGCTTATCCATTTCTATGAATGACAAAAAAGGAAATGAGGTATAATTATCTATTATCATAAATCTGTGGAGTTAATGATATATCCAAAGGTATAAACTTATCTATGAATAAAGCTGTGAGTCTGAGAGAGGTTTATGATAAAAGCTTTTCAGAAGTTGTTACTTATAAAACCTGAGTAAAAACCTCTAGTGGGACTACTGTAGCATCAACTAAGGGAAAAAATAATTTCTCAGCAAAGGTACCCTTGGGACCTGAAGTATCCAGAAATGGATGTTTCCAAGGTTAAGAAACTGATCTAGCGGCCAGAAAACTTATGAAGAAATGCTCATGATCATTAGCCATTAGAGAGATGCAAATCAAAACACAATGAGATACCATCTTGCTCCAGCACTAGTAGTAAAGTTCAACAAGAAAATAATAAATGTTAGCAAGGATGTGGAGAGATTGGGATTCTTATACACTGCTGGTGGGATTGTAAATGGTACAACCACTTTGGAAAGCAGTATGGTGATTCCTTAAAAAGTTGGAATGAGAAATACCATTTGACCCAGCTATTCCATTACTAGGTATATATCCTAAAGAAGCGAGAGTCA